CGTATCTGCAGCCCATAAATGTACGTAATCCTGGACTTTGCCTCTCTAGTCTTCTTCTGCACATGGTTGTGCATATGTTACTTTAAGTGACCTCAAGATTGTCAGGGTTGCATTGCTGTCTTTTCATTTGTAAAATACAACCGCACTGATTTGAAGTGTGAAGTGTAGTCTTTGACTCCACTGTGAACCTGGGTCTCAATAGTGACAGCAGGACACAAGGATTTGGGGGGCACTTTTAAAGGTATTTCTTGAGAAAAGAGGAATACAAATAAAAGTAGAGAAAAGGGGAAAAGAAGACTGAGAGAAAGAGATAATATTTTTGTTCTTTATTTATTTTAAGATGATGAATTAAGTTGAGCAGTCTTACTTTCCTCTAAGGATGGCTGGTAATAAGCGGAGCTAACTCTGACGCCTCCAAATCAACAGAAACTGAAATGGGATATTGAACTGATGAATCAGATCAATCCACAATTTTTTAGATCAAGGATCAAGGCTCTTTAAAGGGAAACCTATGTAGTTTTCAGTTATACTACCAAACAGGGAGAATTGAGGTATTAGCAGCTATGGCTTGCTTTCTTCGATCAGGGCTTTGGTTTGGAGAAGTAGAGAAAATATTGAGAGAGACTGAGAGAATAAACAAGCAGAAAGATGCTAGCTAAAACTTATGGAAAGTACTTACTAATGACACCAATGACACTGAGTAGTGGGAAAGGTGGGAAAAGTGGAGTGCTTCTGGTTGATAAGTAATGGCTTGATCAGGTTCTGGGTGTTGGTGTTCTGTGGTGGTCTGGAGTCTGAAAATTCTCTGGAAGCGGAATCAACAAGCTCAGAGAGGATTTTCACAGTTGGATTATGTAATCTGGTATGTACATGTGGTAGAGGGAGCGGAAACCTAAAGGTTGGGATAATTCTTGGAGTACTGTGAATTGTTACAAAGTCAATGAAGGAATGGAGTTGGGTAAAAGTGATGAGTGGTGACTAGGGTTAATTTTACACCAGGAATCCATTTCTGAAGTCAGAAAGGTTAAAAGTCTTAAGATAAAAAAGATAAGATGATATTTTGAGTAGAAATGGGCAGTTTTGGCAGTCTTTTGGCCAGCTTGGTTGGCTCTAAGGCTGACATCCACAGTGTACTGCGGTGAATGTGAACACGTGAAGCCTCCATCTGTAGTGGAGAGACCCCAGTGACTAACTAGGGTTCAAGAACAATTCACTCATGTCCACCATTCAGACAGGAAGTAAACTCGCAAAGTGCCGCTGTGTATTCAAGACCGGGGCATGGGAAGGGAGGGAGCGACATGGCTCATAGAGATCTCCGGTGGGCCACCCAACAAGATAGCTGTCTGGAAAGGGGTAGGGTGCTAATTGTACCAATGGCAACCCAGGCACCGTTTCAGTGAAGTATACACATCCCTCACACCATTTTGGCAATAAGTTGACAGTGAACGCAACACAAATGTGCGGCCTTGCTTCAAATCCCGACTTTGGATGATTGCCCAACACAAGAGCAGACTCAACCCATTGGAATCAGAGTCCTCATGTTTGTATTGGAATTGAATACATACTTCCTCAATTTAGACACTGTTTAACTGTGCCATCCACCTCTTAGGTCACATGTGTGTGGTGAGCAGTTAAAAATTTCACATTTAACCTACTGGGAACTTGGCCAATTGTCCAAGTAGCAACCCCACATGAAGACAGACCCAGCCACACTCACATGATGCTACTGCTTGCCTGTTGCTGATTGGTTTAGGTGCAATTTGGAAGGCCAACTCTGCTTGGATGACCGTCTGAATGGCACCAGGGTTGGTTATGAATTCCGGTCACGGGTACGATGTCAGCCATGACTGAATCTCATACGGCACTGGGACGGGACTACTTAGATACCTGGCTTTTTAAGTGCCAGTTGCATGCAAAGTACATATCTGATATGTACCATTCAGGGGCCTTCATCCAACTGATGGATCCTTAAACCATACACACTCACAACACAGCACGCTGGAACGTTTTACTGGCCAAATAGACCCAAAGATCTGTTGCCGGGATGATTGTTGACTGACAGTCTAAAGTGTGTCAGCAATCAGCTTATGTCCTCCCACAGTAAGTCTTCTGCACTTCAAAATGCTTAGGCCGTCACTACACCCCGCTAACCTTGTAGTTTCTGATTTTCACAGCTCGGTCACACGCTGTAAGACTCAAAAGTGATTATGAAAACCCTTTTGCTGAATGGAGAAGGGGATGATGGAGTTGCAAGCTCTGCCCTTCTATGCTATCAGAACAACAAGACCACCAAGCTTAGCTTGGCAGTTATATTTATCGTGATAGAGGATAGTTCAAGATGAAGCTTCCGAGTGATGTGTATAAGGTCTGAAGTTATAAATGAGTGATGATTATATTGATGAAGCTGTTGTTCAAAGCTTTAAAACCAAGGCTTGGAGCTCTGGGAGCGCTATGCTTCAACCAGTAATGGTATGTGAGGCAGGTTATGGGCACTTGGCACTTGTTATGATGATGAAAGTGTTATGATTGTATTTCAATATAATGTATTGTTATGGCTGTCACTTGTATATAATCTGTAAGGGTGGTTGAGATGATCTGGTCCACTGGTGGGATCCTGGAGGGAACAACTGGCAGGCAGAGGCCTCCTTATATAGACAAATGTGAGGGATTTTAGCCCCAGGGTACAGGCTTTTGAGGCATTTTAGCTGGCCTGAAGATCCAATGAGGGATTTTAGCTAGTCTAGTACATGCAGGTGAGGGAATTTGGCTGGTGAGAGCACTGCCTTGAGGGAATTTGGCTAGCCTACAAGGTCCTACTACAAAGGAATGCATGTGCACTTACAAAGGAATTCAATATGCACTATGTGCCAATAAAGGAATTCAAAACACCACAAAGGAATTCAATATTCAATATGCATCCAGTATTCAAAACAAGCCATACTATGAGTAAAGAATCCAAAAGATATCCCGTGACAGGTTGAAACCTGTGTAACTTCTAAACTATGAGAGATATGGGGTCAGTTGTAGTGGGTGACTAGGGTTAATTTTACCTGAGAAATCCATTTCTGATGTCCTTTTTACCATATCTATAATATATAAAGAGATAATAATAAATTTTTTATATTTTTCTGCGTAGAAACACAGTATTATTTACCACAACGCAGTATGAGGTGTTCTTGTCAATTATTGAGCTGAGGTCAGCACCCCATCTCCTTTACCAATGGGGGAGAGACCATCAATTCTAATTTAACATCACCTTTCTAGCCTCAGATTTATGTATGTATCTTCTCCTTTCAGACTTTCATGGTTGTTGCTGTCTCGTCTATTTCTGTAGGTAATCTTAGTATGAGAGTTATTACTGATGTCTTGTACAAGTCACCTGCTGAGAGATTGAGGATGTGGGGGATGTTGGTAAGGATGAGGCTCTGGGGGATAATGGTTTCTGGGTTCAATTTCTTATCTTCTGGGGGAAAATCAATAATAATTACTTCTGGTAACTGCTAGTAATTAGTGATGTCTGCTAAGTAATTATCTGTTTACTTCCCTAATGCAAGCATGGGGAACAAAGTAAGTGGGAAAGTGTAATCTATATATACGGGGGTTAGAGATGGGAGCGGCACATCCCGATATCCGTTTGGATTCGGATATCCGCTCACCATTTCAGCGGAATCAGACATCCGCATCCGCAGGCGGATACCTGCTGGTGCTAGCGGGTATCCGCGCGGATACCCGCGGATATCCGCCCCCTTTTAAGGGGGACAGATGTTTTCTTTTTTTCAAAAAAAAAAAAAGAAAGAAAAGAAAAAAAAAAAAGTGAGAGGCCAGCTCGACTCAAATCATCTTCATTATATAGAACGTCGACCTCCCTTCAGCCGGTGATGAGCCAACCGAACCCAGTCAGATCGAATATCTGACCTTCCAAGATGAACTCGAACTGGTGACCTTCTACCTCTCCAAGATCTCTCAACTCTGTCGGGCTTTGATCTTCAACTTCTCCGAGACCGTCGAGGCCACCGCGATGAGCTACTTGAAACACTTCTACCTCAGGAACACCTGCATGGATTATCATCCCAAAAATATCATGTCAGAAGAGCACTACCCCAGACTCAGTCTTTACACCGTGACCCACCTAAAAAAAACTGACTAAATCATTTCCGCACACACAGGCTTACTTTTCTCTTTTTGGCCACCAAGACTGAGAACACCTTGATCTCAATCGACAGCTTTGCCTCCTGGATCCCAAAGACGACCAACGGGGATGTCCTGGCGCTCGAGTTCCTGGTCGCCCAGTTGCTCAAGTTCTAGTTCAAAGTCCACCATGCCCATCTGGCAGCGCGGGGGATCTATCTGGACCTACAGGCCTACCCAATACCTTCAAACACTCTCCGAACTCCTCATCCAGGCTCAGCATAAACCCATTGATAAGGATCGCGTTACCGCAGTCAATCGGAGACTCCGCTTCTGTCGTAACCCTGAGAAAGACCCTAATAGCGCCCTCTTTAAGATCAAACAGGCCAAACTTGAACATGCTCATCTTGCTAAACATCATCAGAAATATCCCCCTAATTCTAATCAAGACCCGTTCTCTTGAAACTGAATACTTGTACAACTTCCTGTGGTTCCATTCCCAAATCCATTGTGCACTTTTCTTGTAACTTGTATTCCCCCCCCCCCCTTGTCTTTTTTTCTAAGAAAGAAAAACTGATCTCGATCCTTGAACTTCAACTAAAGAAAGAACCTTGGACTCAAAAAACAGATATGTTCTTGCCGGATCATCCCTCTCTCCTGATGATTATATTGACCCCATTCTTCTCATGTTTGAACCTGATAGCAACAAACAACCCTTTTTTGGGGGTCCTTGTCACACAAGGAAAAACAGGTATGAATCTGGTCGGCTTGTGCGAGGTAATCTTTTGGGTGTGTTTTTTGGGGGTTGTGGTTGGGCATGGGTTTATATTTGTGTTTGGACTCTGCGAGCTGTAATTGGTAACTTGGCTTTGCTTTTCACTTATAAAGTTGTTGATAGTTGTTGATGATAACTTCAAGTTTAATGATCTAAATTACAAACAAAGCGGGGGAAAAATAGGACAGAAAAAGATCCGCTTGGTGATTTTGGTTTCAAATGCGGAAACGTAACAGAGACTAGGAGATGGTTTGATCATGGGGTGAAATTTAAGTATGTGAAGAGTTCCTGGTTTGGTGGTGGGGGTAAGTTGAGGATCATGGGGATAGCTGGTGAACGCCAAAAAAAGACAGTATGAACAGGGATATTTTAAGAAGCCCAGAAGATCTGAAAAAAAGACAAAGAAGAGAAAGCAGAGACGCACAAGTAAGAGAGCAAGAGATTTGAAGATGAGAGATAGATTTCAGGCGATGAGCTATGTGGTCAGGAGTCTTTCTTCTTCTTCTTCTGCAGGTCGGTAATGGTATCGTTGTTCTTCTTGTCGTCGGGTTCGGAGAGGGCGGCGAAGATGTAGCCAATGAGGATGAAGTTAGTGACAACAATTGCCGAGATGGCAGCTGCTGTGGTGTTTGTCTCTGCGTGATCGGTCAACATTCCAAGTCTTTCTCAAAAAAAAACCATCCCCACTTTTTAGATTTATTGGAGAAATTGCTGACTGTCAAAGACGTGTCCTAAGGTGCCAAAATAGGTCCCAATCGAGGTCGCCGGGAGGGGTTTCTCCCGACGAGCTGGTATGTACACCAGCTCGTCGGGAGGAATCCCTCCCGGAGAGCTGGATTGTGTTCCACCTCGCCGGGAGGGATTCCTCCCGGCGGTGTTGCCTCCCTTGGCACCGGGGATACCCGGATATCCGCCAAGTTTGGGCGGAAAAACAGACATCCGCAGCCGAATCCGCACCCGCTGGCGGGTATCCGCCAGCGGATAGCGGATATCCGTGGCGGATTATCCGCGACCATCTCTAACGGGGGTTAATAAGCGCAAGCCAACCCCCCTCGCACACGCCAATCTGCAGCAAGGTTGATTGGATTAGATTGGCATGCAGGTCCCAAACCCATATTAGTATGGGTTTAGGACCAGGGCTATCCCATAAGACCCAGGCATGGGTCCTATGGGATAGCCTATAAGTGTTTGAAAAAAAAACCTGTCAATCCTTGTAGGACACCGGCCAGTGTCCTACAAGGTTGACAACTGGCCGTAGAGATTGTTCCGCGGTACCCTTTGCTAGGTACCTAGTACCGCTTGGGGGGTACCCTTCACACCCGCCCCGCACCCGTCGGGAGGTGCCAGGTGCGGTGCTTGGTACCTATTTTTGTGAAAAATTGAACAGGTACCTAGGTACCGCTACAGGTACCCCCTCACTTCCCTACCAAAATGACGGTGGCCTTCTACTCCAAGAACTCCAAGAAGGTACCTTGGCTACATGGAAAAAGGGACTCAAGGATAACAAGAAGTCTAACCAAAAATCAAAAAGGAAGGTGATAGTTTTGGACAACAATGAAGATTCTTCTAATAATCTAATTAGATATAATTTGTAGACATTTTGAGCTTTAAAATAAATTATTAAATGTAAACAAATGAAAAAACTGACTTGGGATTGATGTTTTACACTAAATATGGGGTATCAAATATAAGAAATCCACCATTAGAAACCAGTCACTTTTTTAAAAATATTTTTTTGCATCAATGGGCCCCAAAAGGGGTTAAATGAAGAACCAACATGTTTAAAAAAGGGCGGATTTTTTCAAACCAGTCAATTAAATAATGGTGGATTTGGTTTTATTTGATACTCCCTAATATGAAAAAAGGCAAGATTCTTCCCATTAGATGTAGATACTTGACAACAAATATGAAAAAAATGCCCAAAAGGTGACTTGAGTAATATTTTACAATAAATATGAAAATAATAATAATAGGGGGTATCAAATATAACCAAATCCACCATTATTTAATCGACTGGTTTGAAAAAATCCACCCTTTTTTAAACACGTTGGTGAGTGATTTAACCCCCTTTGGGGCCCTTTGATGCACAAATATTTTTTGGGAAAAGTGACTGGTTTCCAATGGTGGATTTCCTATATTTGATACCCCCTAATAATAATAAAGTAAGGTTCTTCCAATTAGTTTAAGATGTCTTACAACAAATATGACAAAAGGAAAAACAGTGACTTGGGGATGATATTTTCAATAAATATGAAAATATAATAACAAAGTAGGATTCTTCCAATTTGTTGTCAACATTTCACAATAAATATGAAAGAATGGAAAAAAAGTGACTTGGGACTGATATTTTACAATAAATATGAAAAAAATAATAATAAAAAAGTGACTTGGTAATCTGAAAGTGAACCTAGGTTAGAAAGAGAGGGGAGGTACCCGCGGTACCCGCCAAAAGTACCGCTGGTACCCGCCGGGAGGTGCCTGGTGCGGTACTTGGTACCTATTTTTTGAAAAAATTCAACAGGTACCTAGGTACCAACAGGTACCCGAGTACAAACGAACGATCTCTACTCCACATAACAGGCTAGCCCCTACCCACAGGCTCCCCAGGTATATTCTTTGTTCAAATAAAATTGTGCATGACCCCTTGGAGCTTCTAGAATATTATCCCCAAGGTTTCAGCCCTTGTTGCGTCACTATGTGGGCTAAAATGGGCCACAAAGCGCTCCCAAGTCCTACTAAGCTCCCCTGAGCAACCCCTGAGGCCTTAAACAGGTATTTAAAGGGCCTTCTGACCGCCCCAATAATGATCCCCCAGCTTTACAATACCTTATAGAAATTTACTTACCATTTACAAGTCCCCTACACTTGTAATTAGCCTAGTTACTACTATAATTGCTGTTATTAAGCCTCAAGAATCCTCAAGAAACTCCCCAGTGATCACCCAGCACCCAAAATCCACCTTTTTGAGCGCTTCCAACTGTCCAGTTTCTACTCTGAAGATCCTCAAGACCCTACAGGATTATTACTAGTAAGTAATAAACCTTTCTTGAAGATTTTCCCCTTAAAATAAAATCCTGGGATATAAACCACCCCTGCTTACAGGCCCCAGTGTACCAGGTACCTAAATCCTCTGCCTTTGCACGATACCTTAGAGGGATCTAAACCACCCCTGATTTATCAGGCCCCTCTGGTTTAATTTATATTAATTTTAGGGTCTTAGTTAAATGTTATGAGCTGTAGAGGACTGGAACTGGGGATGTTACATATGTAGAGAGCCTGTTACGTACATGTCACGAACTTCGAACTTGGAGGTCGTTCGAGATCCGAACCTTGTACATTCCTCATCTTGCAATCTACCATCAAGACTCAGAACCCAGAAGATCCCTCTCCTGCTCTCCTCAGAACACCCATAACATATTGCAAGATCAACTCACACGGAGACCAGGAACGAAACACCCAGAACACCACTCCTCAAACCTTGAAAATCAACCCTTAAAACTCACCTCTCAAACCTTGAAAATACTCCCCCTGAACCTCTCTCAAACCTTGTCTATCAACCTTGATACTCACCCCTCTCCCTCTTTCACACCCTCACAGACCCTTCAGGACCCCCCAGGAACCCCTCAGGCCCCCCAGGAGGTCGTTTTTTGGCGTTTTTCGTCGGATCGTCTCAGGACCCTCGGAACACGCCCAGGACCCTCGGAACGCCGTCGGATCACTTGGATCAGGCCTCTGAACGCTCAGAGACCCCCCAGAACCCCTCCAAGCCCCTCCACGACCCCGGATCGTCGTCGGACGACCCAGATTGACTCGGATCGTTGTCGGACGACCCAGGGAGACCCCCCACGCCCCCGACCGCTCCCCAAGGCTCCAGAAGCCTCGCGATCGCCTCCTGAGGCCCCCGCAGCGCAGCGAAGCGCCCCAGGACGCCCCAGCGATCCCCCCAGCGCCCCCCAAAGCCCCCAAACGACCTGCCAGAGCGCCCCAGAGCCCTCAAAAGGCCCTCCAGAGCGCCCCACAGCCCCCAAAACCCCAAGATAGAGGGAGTGGAGGACTGTTAGACCCCCAAAACCCCCTGTAAGACCCCTGCTCACCCTCAGGAACCAAGAGAGGACACCCAGGCCCTCAGAACCATCAGAACCCCCAGTAAGAACCCCAGACCCCCCATAAAAACCCCCCAAAAGACCCAAGCCACCCCTCAGACACCCAAGACCCCCCAGAAACCCCCCCCGAACACCCAGAACACCCCCCGAGAAGCCCCAGAAACCCCCCAAGACACCCCAGATCCCCGAAGAGAGCTCACACGAGCCGTTTGGCGAGGCGTAAAGGTACAAAAGTAAGCCTCCACAATTTTAGTTGCACCTTCCGAAGTCACTACACACCGTCAAAGCATTACCTGCCACTCTGTGAGCCGCCCCGTACTGTTTTGCTATGGACGTAGATGAGAAGGATGCCAAACTCGCCGAGGTCCAGGCGCAACTGTCCCAACTCCTGGCCGTGGTCGAGGAGGAACGCAAGGTCCGGAAGGAGACGGAGGAGCGTTTAGCCAGGAAGGAGGCCCAATTGACGAAGGCCCTGAAGAACGCCGACAATAAGCCGCAAGGACCAGCCCCGCCGGCCAAAGGCCCAAAGATTGGTGTCCCTGACAAGTTCGATGGCACTCGTGGAGCTAAAGCGGAGGTTTTCATCAACCAGGTAAACCTCTATGTCCTGGCCAACGGACACCTCTTCGGCACCGACCGCGCCATCATGGTGTTTGTGTTGTCCTACCTGACTGGTCCGGCTAGCTCTTGGGCCCAACCGTGGATGAAGAAGGTGATGAGCGATACTGAAGCTATCAGTAAAGACAACTTTGACACTCAGTTCACCGCCATGTACTGCGACACCGAGAAAAAGACCAAGGCGGAAGCAGCCCTACGAGCGCTCAAACAGACCAAGTCAGTCTCTCACTACACCCACCAGTTCAACCTGCACACCCACAACACCGGCTGGGCTCCCGCCGTCCTCGTCAGCCAGTACAGACAAGTCCTACAATCGCAAATACGCCTGATGTTGCTGATGAGTCGTACCGAATTCTCCGAACTGGCCAACATCGCCACCCTGGCCCTGCAGATCGACAATGAACTCCACAGCCTAGCACCCACTGAGACGGCCAAGACCCCTGACCCCAATGCAATGGACTTATCAGTCATGCGTGGCCGCCTTTTGGATGCGGAGAAGACCAGGATGATGCGAGCGGGCCAGTGCTTCCAATGCGGGAACCAAGGCCACATCTCGAGGGATTGCCCGGACCGTGGACAGAAGGGGAAAGGGAAGGAGAAGTCCCGGATCGCCAAACTCGAAGAAGAGGTCAAACAGTTGAAGGCAGGAGGCAGTAGAGCGGAGTCGTCAAAAAATGGAGGAGCTCAGGAATGAAGGATGTGCCTATCCTGAGCAGTGGAGAGTTGTTTGTTGTTAGCATTGGCGCCAGTGAAATTTTTTCAAGAAATCAAATTGATCCGCGTTTATTTATTTCTTTGCCCATTGTGCCACCCAAACATTCTCGAGCCACAACCCCATTGCCACTCCCTCCCGCTACTTTTCTCATTGACTCTGGAGCAACCCATGACGTGATTGGCGAGTCTTATGCCAAGTCTACGGGACTCCTTGATATTGCCAGACCCTCTCATCGTACCATTTCTGGTTTCGACGGTTCCTCAAGCCGTTCTTCATTTGATATCCACCTGACTCTTGACACCGACCCATCTCCTTCCCCATTCATCATCACTCGCCTGAAAGACTCTTACGACGGGATCCTTGGAATGCCTTGGATCCGTAAGCATGGACACCTCATCAATTGGACTGACCGGAAATTCAGGAAAACCCCACAGGATTTTGCAGCTGTCGATGCAGCTTCGTCAATTCCGAAAAAACCCTCACCTTTTGGCGTGGAGACCGTG